TTCTTTGGAATTGGGATGTAGACTGATCTTTTCCAGTCCTCTGGCCACTGCTGAGTTTTCCAAACTTGCTGGCATATTGAGTGTAGCACCAAGCTGGTGAATACATCAAAGCAATTCAGGGTTATTTTGTATACTCACCTTCTCCCACTTCAAGCCCCCTTTTCTGCTCCAAGACTAGTTTCTTTAATTTCACTGTGATGCAATCCTAGCTACTTGGTCATGGTGGTTATACAGGCGTACCTTGGTTTACGAACGCCTCAATTAACATAATTTTTGGTTTATGAATGAAAATCTATTGAAAATAATGCCTTGGTTTACGAATGTTTTCCACAATACGAAGCAAGTTTGCATTGCACCTGGGAGGTTTATAGCGCCCGCCCCCGTGCATGCATTCCTATGGGAAACTGTGTTTTGGTTTGTGAATTTTTCACAATACAAAACATCCTGGAGAATGCATTAAATTCATTAACCCAGGTACAGCTGTACATTAATCCCAACAGCAATTGTGGTATGCTACTTAATACCTGTTGTTGGGGAACGTAAACAGTAGGGTTCTCCTGTGCTGATGCCTCACTTTGCTGGCTTCTGATGGGCCACCAATTGGCTACTGGGCAAACAGAATGCTGAGTTAGGCCTTAGACTGAACTAGCAGGGCTCTTCTTGTGTTTTTATACTTTAAAAAGGCTTTATCATAATCTAGTTCAAAGCGAAAGCTCAACATTCTCCTCTACTGATCATTCACACGGATCATTCTATAAAAAGATATTTAATGTTTCTGCTACCTCCTCTTAATATATTTTATTGAGTTATCAGTTACACTGAAGTCATTGTTAGATGTCAAATACATGCTTTTTGCTCCCTATGACAAGACTATGGATTATCTTAAAGCATTAATTTTTATTCTAAACGGTCTAAAACAGTCAATGTACTCGAAACCATGGAGATCAACCAGTACTGGGCTCTTCCTGTCCAGACAATTTTGACCCTTTTCTGTGAACGCTTGGAGATCACAAAACCTTACGCCAAATGAAACTTGTTAGTCTGAGATGTTACAAGATTGTTTTCACAAAGGTGTGTTTGCTGCAGGAGTCCTTGTTGTTTTGGAACTACCATATGGGTATCACTTAAATGGAAAGGCCTCACACCTCTCATATAGTACTTGTTTGCTTGCTTTACCTTTTTCCCTCAGGCAACACTGGAATTAAATAGGCAAATTCTTATGCAATGATAAACTTCCTGCCATTCCAAAGCAGGAGGTATTAGGGAAGTCATGATACAATCACAGGTTTGCAGCAAATGAAAGGTTGCTAAGTATAGCCCACTGAAACATGGAAGATAATGTTACTTGTTCTACTGGGAAACATAACCTTTGCTCTCACAATTGCAACAGTTGCCTACATTTTTTTTAAAAAATGGAAATATTTAGAATTTTAAGCATCTGCTAATATTTAACAAGTAGGGTCCCAGGCCAAGGCTTCTATTCATTGGCAGAGTACAGTGGGGAGCTCTTTCGTAATACTTTTGATTGTGCCACCGAAAGTTAGTTCACTGAAGACTGAGAGTGATATTATTTGTTTATAACTTGGATTGCCTTTCTTTTGTGGTGGGGCTCCTTACAACTGACTGGATAGCTCAATGGTTTAGGTATCTGGTTGTGGAACCAAAGGTCAGGAGTTTGGTTCCCCAGTGTGCCTTCTACGGGTAGAGCCATCCTGTGTGGCCTTGGGCAAGCTGCACAACCCCAGGGTGCCTCTAGAAGAAGGGAATGGTAAACCATTTCTGAGTATTCTCTACCTGGGAAACCCTGAAAAGGATCACCATTAGAGATGGGCATAAACTGCTGCTTTGGCAATACATCTGTGAAGATTCTCAGTCATCCAGGGAAGGTTATGTGGAAGTTGAGTCATGGCAACTGGACGTCTTTCTTTCTAGGTTGAAACGTTTCGCTACTCATCCAAGAAGCTTCTTCAGTCTGAGGAGAGTTGGTAGGAGACCCCTGATATATTGTCCTTGTTGGTTTCACTTCCCCCTGATCCATTATATGATAGCACAATTAGGGCTCCTAACTGTGCAGATGTCAGTCTCAGACCAGACGGTGTAACTTTGGCAACATTAGAGCTTTGGAAGTTGCCTTTTTTGGATGATAGCTCCCAGAATTTCTAGACAGCATGGTCTCTGGAAAGGAGACAAATCCTGTATAAAACAGTGTTCAATATATATTTAAAAACTGGCTGGAGTATTCTGACAGATGTCATCAAAAAAGTTATTTTCTCAAACTCAAAATATTGCTGTGGAGAATGCACAATTTATGATTATTGACGTGAAATTGTGTATTTTGCAGAGAATGGATGGGATATGTGGAAGTGTTTTTACTGTACGTATCTAGCCCTTATGGTAGCAGAGAGAAACCTGGATACAATCATGGTTGGTAGGTCTTTTCAATTTATGCCACAGCATTCTGAACAGCATTAAGACCTTGTCTTTACAATCTTACAAACTTGTTCCTCTGCTCTTATTGCTACCCCCCCATCCCTGCATTTCTGTGTAAAAGAGTAAGCAAACCTCATGAAATGTTACTTTTAATGCGTGTTATACATAATCTCACTAAAAATTATAA